GGAAGGGGGGAGGCCTAAATTCTAGACTTTCGCTCCAGTTTCTAGACGTTTTCCTCCCACTGCCCCGCACAGTCCAGACGAACGCACGTCCACCCGCACGCTTCACAGCTGCTCCTGTAAGAGCACAGGAGCAAGAGCTGAAGTAGGGAAGATTTAGTTTAGCTTCAGTTTCCTCTTTCCTCCCCCATTAGAAAGAAAAGAAGAAACAAAAGCCTGGAGGTATGTTATATTAATTTATTTGGGACACACCGAAAAAGGAAAGTCAACAACTGTTAACGTACAAAAGTACAGAGTCCTGGGACAAGTTTTACTGTCCTGATTAAAAAGGCACCATGGTCCCAAAGAAGAGCAATCAGAATACATCATTTAGAAATTTTCCCCCTGTTGCAGCAGAAACGGAGCCAGGCTGTGGCTCTATCCACAGTCATCAAACCCGGTTAAAAAATAAAACAAAAAAACAAAACATGATTTAAACGCAACAAACACTGCTCAGCCTGTACAGGATGGCATAAAAAGAACCACAGCCTGAAAGATGGTCACAATTTCTCTTAAAACAACAAAGGTGACAAACCATTAAGTGCTTAACTGAGGAAGACAGCAGACTGCCCGGCTTCTGACATCTTCAGCTCAAGACTTTCTGTAAGATGCACGTCTGCTAAACTGAAACTACTAGGCTGAGCATGGGGCTGCTGAATGAAATGTAATTGCCTGCGGTGCACAGGAAGTCAGATCTGACAACCTTAAATTCCCTGAATCCCTGAATATCATAAAGCACGGCACAGCTGTGTTCCATATTCTAGTCAATCCTGCCGGATTTACTTTGCACACTAGCATTTATATCGTCAGCTATATTTGCAATACAAAGGGGATTTTACAGCAGTTATTAAAAAATTCTACTTCTGCGAGGTCGGAGCTTGGCTATATTCCCTGCGGAAACAGAGCTGCTGGTGTAAAAGCCCAGTGAGAGGCTCAAGTCCAGCATCTCAGGGCTGGAAGGCAAATAGTTTAAACGTGACATAATTTGCAAGGGGAAGTCAGTGAAGCGTGTCAGAGAGAGGAGGAGAGAAGAGGGCTGTGAACTCTCAAGCAGAGGAGGTTGAAGGGTGTTGCAGAACGGGGGTGCGTCTTATTAAACCTGAAACGACACTAAGTAAGAGTGATGCAGAACACACTAAATATTTTGGAGCAACTTACCGTGAAGAACTTCTCAGTGACACAGAACAAGGATCCCAGCAATTACTTATGAGCAAGTTCGCTGGGAGGCCGATGTTTCGCTCAGGGCCGGACAGATCAGTCCTTAGGCGGAGGGACAGCAGGGAGATACGCTGGAGCCTGACTAAGCAGCGAGGCCGGGGCTGCTGCCTCCTGTGCTTGCTAGCTCTGTTTCATCTGAATTTGAACAGCAGCTACTTTGCGTTTCATTCCTCCTTTGGCATAGGACTTCAAAGCGGTCCAAGAACTGATTCATTAAAGTTACAGGAGCTGTCAAAATTATTTGTACATGCATTTATTGTTAAAGGGAGCAAAAGCCAAAGAATGAAACAGCACAAGTTAATGTCAGTAAAATGATATGCAGGATGTGTAGAGGTAAGAAACAGGGAGGAGCTGAGATACTGGAGTGGGGAAACCAATGTTCACACTGAAAGGTAAATTGGAAAACTAGGCAAGTTTGAGCTCTTTCTACCAGAGTACCTCTAGGGACAACTAGAGACTTGCTTTATTTATTTCTAGTGTACTCTGGCAAGGTTTGGGAAGCTCACCAGAGAGATCTCCAGCACTGGCTTTCACAGAAAGTTCAAGTCTCTCATCTTTAAAGACCAGTAAAGCAACTCTAACTAAACATGGCAGATACCCTTGTGCTGCACGGATCTAAAGTCACAGACATGCCACTGGTTAAGTACATACAAGGGCAAGAGGGTTACACTCTGCTCAAACAAACTCCTGCTGGAAAACTACCTGCTGTCTGAATGGACCTACACGGGGTGGAAAGGCAAGCCCAGATTTAGAAGCCTCTTGCTGCAAACACCTCAGCTACTCATTCTTGGGAAGGCTTTTTCTTCCCTATATCCTAAGAAGGCAGGATAACGGCTTATAAAGTTCTTCCCATTCCAGACTAAACAACGCCATTTGCATCCCTCCATCCACCTTACCCCCATGGCAAATAAAACATGACCACTTCATTTAGGGTTCACACCTCTCAGTTCCTAGATTACAGATTTCATGTTAAGAATCATCAGGTTATGGGAGGGTTTATCCTGATCAAGGAAACGTCACTGCGCAAAATAAAACATTCGGAATCAGCAACACTTTTACAGCCAAAGCACTCAAACATCTCATCTCATCTCATCTCTTCTCTCTCTCTCTCTCTCTCTCCCATTTCTCCCTTCGCAAGCAAGAGAGCAATCCATTAACAAAAATCACAGAATGCATCTCCAAGACTGGGTAATGCAAGCTAAAAAACTAGCTTTCTTCCTCACAGAAACAGCAAATTCTGAAAGGGGCTGAACACCTTTCACTCCCAGTGAAATTAGCTGGAGTTAATGGCTCTTCAGTACATGAATTTTACATTAGCAACAAGTCCAAGTTATTTCCCTGCAGTAAAAGAGAGTCCTGTTTTATAGTATTAGGCCACCACTGGCTCAGAAATGGTGAGAGACTTCTGAAAACACACTCGCGTAGACAGAACCTTGGGTGAAGAGGCTTACACGCTACATAACCTTAGATCATCGGCTGTGTTTGAGCCTTCAAATCATTAGCTGATGACCACTTAGCCTTCCGAGTTCGTGTGCTTTAGTCCTTGCCACCGCTGCTGTCATCCCAGCGCTCTTCCCCGGAGGCAGGACGTTCCTGAGCTCTGGCTGGGGATCTACAGCAATCACTTCCAATCGATTGTGGGGTTTCAAACTTGCCTAAAGTGTGTATCGCCACCTCGTACTCCAGCAGCTCTGCTTGCCGACGACGGCATGCGCTAGCAGTTTTTGACCTTGTCCACAGTTTCGTAGAACCCAGGCCTAACTCTCCTTATGCTCATCCGTATATGCTGGCACTCCAGGGGCATGGCATCGCTAGCAGGAGTCGCTGGACTGGAGGACCACGCGGTGCACCGGCGCTTTCTTCTGCTCCTCAGCGAAAAGCCTGGAGCCCCTCCGTTCTCTTCCTCCGCAGGATAGGATTCGTCCACACTCGTGCCTTCGTCGGACTGCTCATCGCATTTATACGTCGTTTCCTTTGCTTTGTTTCCTTCCTTTTCCTCCTTGGCGAGTTTTCTGAAGTGCTCTAAGCATTGTATCTTTCGTCTTCTTTCCATCATCTGCAATTCTTGCTTGTCTGTGCAATCTTCATAGTACATTTTTCTTTCACTTCTTTGATCTTCAAGAAATTTCCACTCAGTGCCAGTCATTTTTATCCCACTGTACTCCTCCAGTTTATTTCTTGTCGGTGTGTCTGTACAAAATATGTCAAAGAGCTTATCCGAACTCTCGTTGAATCTGTCTGCTCTCTCTGTAAAAGCCTCGTTTTGTCTCTGCTTTCTGGTCTGATACAATTTGGTGAACTCCTCATACATTTTGAGGATAATTTTCTTTATGTTTTTTGTTGCAATGGTATGCAAGTTGCAAAACAACCAGTGCTCTTGCAGGTGTTCGGCGAGCAACTGGGCCGCATCCTCTTTGGACCGCTGGGCTTGGCCAGCTCTTTTGGGCTGTAGCAAATACAGCATGTTCTGAACCACATCCTTCTTCGTGGGCAGCATTCCCTGGGCAAAACCAGAGGACTCTACATACTCAACAGTCCCTAGAGTCTTCCTTACTTTCACCTCGGTGTCCAGTGATTCCATCACTGCTCGTTTATCTCGTAGTTATGCCATAATCTGAAAGATAGAAAAAAAAAAATATATATATATATATATATATGAGTGT